TTACCTAACTAGCTATCTATAGATGTTATGTACGCTGAAAATTCACACAATTTATAACAATATTGTAGATTAATATGAAAAATCTCATCAAAAATATAAAATGCATATAGCTGACCTAGATAAGGGTTTGCATAATTTTTTTTATCTGCAGTTCAGAAATGTTTATGGTGTGCTTCGAAAAATATTGTAAGCAAATTATATAATGAAGTTAGAATGAACTTTAATAACTTATGTTTACAGTTATATAGTTAAATTGGACAGTTTTTTCACATTTAATTGGATCTTGCTGCTGATTCACAACGAGACTCATAGCATTTACTATTTGGGATGGATTCATGAACAAGTGGGAAGAATGGTAATTAGTGTACCTAAGTGGAACCTTTTTGTTGCATTGTTGGCCATTGATAGGTGAAGAAGCTCTATGAGAGCATTTTGGGTAATTGCATGAAGGTTCCAACTAGCTTTTGTTGTTGTTGTGGTGTTGGATTACAATTTTCTTTGTAAGAAGCAGATTTGGGTTAAGATGAATGTATATTGGTAAATTCATCCATATACTGTACGCATCAAACCAAAATAAATATGAAGTTAATTTTTTCTTAAATTATGTAAGAATTCTTAATTGATGAATAAAGATGGGTTTCTCTTAATGAATGGATTTTCCACAACGTCTAAAGAACGAAAAGCCTTTTTTTTTTTCCCTCGTTCTTTTCTCTATAACTGAAATTGATTGAATAATTTTCTTTGCTTAATCACATCAGACTTACATAATAACTCTCTCAATCATTGAAAGACTATCTCTAATATTGTAAAGCTGGAAAGGCCAGAAGAAAAAAAGGCCAACAATAATTATTTACCAAAAACCTCAAATGTTAAACAAAAATCCTTTTTTCTTCCCCTTCTTTCTCTGCAGAGCCTGCAACGAAATTAACAAAAACCAAATAAATCAAACAATGCTTCTCGAAAAAGCTAAATGATCTAAGTAACCTGAAACATTACCTTCTTAATAAATAATCTGAGGGTGAGCACAATTGTATCTCTTGAGCTGCCAAATACAACAGAAAACAGAAGATTAGAATGCTTAGTACAATACAACCGGAAACCTTTCTTTTTTTAATGAAGACTTGGAACAGATTAGACAATTTCATTTAGAAAGAAAACACAAACATCAGATTCAAGTATAGATATTATGATTCTTCTGATATCAGAAAAAAAGTCTCATACATTTTTCATCGTCTGTATAGACAAATTCCTGCACTCATACGACGTGTGAATTTTAAAGCAAAATTCTACTTACCAGCTAAGATCTGTTCCATCATTATCCACCCGAAAGAGATGCTCCACGCCATCAGTACCAATAATCACAAAATCCGCAGGCTGATCAAAGGGAATCACAACCTAAGGAAAGTATCAGAAAGATCATAATGTTAGCTCATTCATTAAATCAAGTTACTTTTAATATGTATATTAACATATAATGCAACCAAGATTAAATTTCTAAGAAAAAGCAGACACATAAGGCAGGACTCTTACAGCCGTAGAAGAAGAGAACTTCTCTGTAATTACAGGATCATTGCTAGGTTTGATACTGTAGCCTTCTTTCTTAATAGATAACGTAGCTGCTTCCCATATATCCATATAACCAATCTGTTTTGAAAGAGAGATCACATAGTTGAAAAAATACAAGCACAAGTGAGAGTTAATAGAGGTATGAAGGAACAGTCTACGAAAAGCCGAAGAACACATAGAAAATTTGTACAAAATGAAATAAGAGAACTGTCATACCGCATAGGAAACCTTAAATAACGCATGACTGTTATGAAGACATTTCTCTATATGGCTATGCATCTCTGGTTCTGTGTAATAGAAGAGGAATACAATTACCAGATAATCCTAGAATATTTTGGCGCAATAATAATAATTGCAAAGTAAGCTTAACGAGAAATTCATTATGATTAAAAGGAGGTACGATTGAGTTTGCCCAACCAACCAAAAACACAGCCAACAAAAAAAATACTGAATTTTGAACTGACAAGTCTTGTAGTTTTTAATTTCTTTGAATCTATGGGTAAAAACAATAATAGGTTCCTCAGTAGTGCTCCTCCATATAAAGTTCAGTATGGATAGAACATGCAACAGAATTAGTTTTGTTAGGAATATGAGCGACCAAATTTTTCTAAAAGTAAAAGCATAAACTTACGACACGTAATCTTGCAATTGTCATTGGCAAAGACCCTCACAAGCTCCCCCTAGAATCAGAAAGAAAAAACAGATGAAGAATGAACCACATGCAAAACTAAAAACCAGCCAGGTAACAAAATGGTAATCACATCAAACACAATATTAATGTCCACAAACATATTTAAACTAATGGTTGATACAGGTTCGACTAAACATCCCAAAAAATCCTAATCCATGTTCTTCACAGAAGAGCGAACTGAAACCTTTTGATGTATATCCTCATTCATCAGAAAAGATTAAGAAAACTAACCTTGCGGTTCTTGTCATCCAACGGGTGAACTTCAATGGCAAGGTATAAATCCACATCATCAGCAGTGACGAGATAATTTGGCTTCTTTGCTCCTGCATAATAGTATCAGCAATTAAGCTCTTATCGCCATATTTAATTGTAAGGGAAAAACGAATAAGATAAATTCTTGAGGATAAACCAAGGGTAGTAGGGGAAAAATGTGTACCATCAATGTAATTCACTGATCCATCTTCCAGATGCCGCACCCACTGATATTTAAGAAGGAAAGAAGATACATTAAAATGCAATTTGAAATAAACCAGGGAAAAAGTACTGCTTTTTATTTAGCATGCACCTCAAAATTACATTTTGTCGTTCCGTTGATGGAGTGACCAGAAGCCTGAATCTCTCGTCCAGGAAAAGGTTCTCCGGATATCTGTAGGTCTGCTATACCTGGCAACGGATCATCGTCTGCAGCTGCCAAGGGTAATTCACAATATTTTGAGACAAAAGTGAAAGAACGTGATGGCATTGGTAATATGCCAGTACTATTATTGTTATGAACCATTACCCTCAGAAAATGATGAAGATGGTTCTTCAAGAACTGGGGGCAAAATGGGATAATTGGAGGGGCTAGGATCATCAAACTCGGCCACATAAGTTGAATTATCTGAAGTTTGATTTGTATCTGCTTGTACATCATCGATAAAAGTATTGCTGAGAGGCTCCCGAAACTGAACACGGTTACTTAGTCCATGAGACTCATCTTGACTAAGTGCTGGTTGCACAGGCATCTGAAAGGCTGGCGACCTACTGGTACACAAGACACATTTGATCAATTAACTAATTTTTACATTGCAGATCAAAAGCACTCATCCACCAATTGCTGCATGGTATACAACCTAGGTGATAAATCAGAAAATGTACCATGCTGCAAAGTGAAGTAACGAAGAAGAAATTAACAGTTCAGAGAGTAGCAAAGACTCGATAAAATGTCTAATTGACAGAAAAAACTTCACAGTTTGGAATTAATACCAGGTGCTGCATATAGCTTGACCCAACAATTACCAAAAAACACATCCGCTATTTTTTAACATTCTCCTTATATCCCTTATTTTTGGTATTTGTTCAACGATGCATAACTCTCCCAGATATCTAGGGAATCAACAGCAAAGTTAATGCATTAATACCTCTCAGGGCCATCAAGAGGGTAATTACTCGCAGCTGAGCCATCACGCCGGTCTTGATGATGGTTTTCCGGATCTGTCTGATGGAAATAAAAGAAGGAATTTTGGGTTTACGACACTTAAATACGTTGATATAACACTAAGGAATATGAACTTACTGCGTATCTCAAACCAGGCTGATACGGCGAAAAAGGCGAAGCATTTGAGTGGTTTATATCTGACTGCCAAGGTGCTAATTGGTACTCTGTCTCCTTTAGCTTTGTCTAGTACCAGAGAAAGGAAAAGATCAAAACGAATCACCTTATCATATATTAGTAGGGAATAGCTCCAGCATCAACAATAGGACTAAACTGTAATTTGATGCCAGCAAACCCCATACCCGCATATCATACCTCAGTAAGAAGGAGCTTCTCTTGCAGATGCCTAAATAAAACCTGAATACGGATGAACATAGATGTAAACATCAATCACATGTTCAGACGGGAAAGAGATACAATACAACCTCACTCCAACATCAAGGAAGCAGGGAGCTCTATCAGTCACTTTAGTTCTCTATTGAAAGTGCTCAATAGTTATTCAGGAGACCTTTTTACATCATTTTTTGTATTATGTATTACTTTTACGAATTTCAAGGGGGTGAAGTTGAAACTTTTCCAGCCAAAATGCAGAGCAACCACCCAAACTACTATCCTACAGTAAATAGTTGTTGAAGATAGACAATCAAGGAGGTCTGAAGTGCAAAACAAAATGACTAGACCAGATAACAAACTTAAGATTATGAATCTAACCTTGACATTGCTAACAATAGACTGGGAATCAGAGAGCTGTGGATGCAGCGAATATTCAGAAAGAAGAGGCAGCAGGTACGACACAAATGTAGATCTCTCCTGCTCTGCAGCCTGGTAGAAGCAATCAAGAATTTCAGTCTAGAATCATTATATAAGTGAGATGCCAAAGACATATCCAAGTATGCCAATTGACCATAAATGATTGGTAAAACTGATGCAAATTGAGAATAACGAACGGAGTCCAGCCAAAAATGATCACAAAATAGAGTAGAAGCGAAGATCAGAGAAGATCAACAATACATATGCCAAAAGACAGACAATAATTGTCGTATACCAAAAGATACAAGATGATAATACCTGTAAGGCATATGTTAGGCGTATATTTTCCTCAATGATCTCTTGTCTGTAAGAGAGAGCCTTTGATGCAGCATCAACAAGGTCTTGTTGCTGTTGATCAAATGCCTGTGAGAACAAGAAGGATAAATGAGCCCTTATCTGGTTACCAGATTAAATAAGCCAATACAAGATAAGGTTTGACAGGTTTAGTAAATAAGCATAAATAAAAGCTACTAGACAGATTTTGTAATAAACGGAACGAAAAACTAACCAAACGCATGTGAGCGATACGCTTTTCCAAAACATATTTTTCATTGCGTATTTGGGCTTCCTAGAAACAGGCCAAAAAGGTTAGACAGGCACTGTATCGTAAAATGAACAAGCATGCATAGAAAACTAGAGTTTTACCTTGACAGAATAATTAGCAAGATATTTTCGCAACCGCACAATCTCTTGTTCTTGTTCCTGGACCTTGTGAATGAGCTCCTGGATAGTTGCATAGTCAGGAAAACATTTTCTTACTTTCACTAATAAGGATAACAAGACTTAGTAAGAGTGAGTGGGACCTGCTTCCATGCATTCCCCGAATTATTTACTTCACCTACTGACATCAACTCATGAGTAGACGAGTTGATATGTGAGTCACGACCTCCTTCCAATAGCGGTCTAACAAAGAAAAGTCAAATACTGAATTACGAGAATACATTCCGTGTTTATGCAAATATGGCTGAACCATGAGATTAACATAAAACTGCAGCACCAGGCCAGTGTTAGTAAGAGGTTTAGTACCTCATAGGAGATAATGATATTGTAGATGGCGAAGAAGAAAAATGAGAGGCTACCCCACCACCTACTGCTCCTCTGACAATGCCATTGGTCATGATTCCCTCCAAATGGTCTTCAGAACGATTACTCACAATAGCTTCCTCTCCATTTGGATGCACATGTTGGTGAATAACCAGCATACCTGATGAATCAGCAGCTGAAGCATTGATCATGCCTTTCCTCCGGTCAACTGGATTAAGACTAGCGGGAGACTGGTGCAATGGGGAAGACCCGCCAGTGGTAGTATTCGAATGATCTCCTAGATCAGATGTTTGGGGAAAGGATTCGCCTGATTTCTAAGCATCATAGAGAACAAAAACAGATTACCATGTAAGCCACACATCTACCAAATTTAGTCCCTAATTACATACCATGGAAATGTCAACAGAGCTCTAAGGAAATATCCTTGAGAATCACTAGGGACAAGAAGAGATATTTCTTTCTGTCCTCTGACCAGGGAAATGCTAAAATCAAACTACTTACATATTTGGCAAGCTCCAGATATCTTCTCTGAAGTTCAGACTTTAAGAGATTATTCTCCTCCACCTGGTCAGTAATAAAAATAAAAACCAGTCAGAGAAGCTCAAGAAAATCCATCTGGAGGAGGACCTAACTCACACTTCGTATCCAAACCATTCCCCAAGTAAGTAACTAAACAGCTTCAGATCGAACCAACCATTTTGCAGCAGTACAATTTAAGTAAACAAGAACTTGATAAACAACCCAAATATACTCATTTCCAATTCCCTAGCATTGGTTTGCATTTTGCAGCTAATTTGAGATGACTTAAAGAAACTTTACACATAACCTTGGAAGAGAACTTAAAGTGATGATTACCTCTACAATAAAAAGTTTTCTCATTTGCAAAAATTTCAAAGAGAGAGAGAGAGATAAGAGGTACATATGAACACAGACCTGCTGCTTGATTGTGGCTTCTGCAGCTTCAACAGCTTTAATGACCTGAAACAAGCTATCGTTCTTAACATCGTTTTCATGAGAACCAGAAGATTCTCTAAGTCCCACTCCTGAAAACCTCTCTGCAAGTCTTTCCTCATGGCCGTTGTCCATATCCAGT